GTTGCTTTCAAAGCAACTTGTTCAAACATCAGATCTCTGAGCGGTTTGAAGTCGTGTTTACTTGCTCCATGAATTTTTCAGAAAAAATATCAGAGCTGCTGTTTGTTTACTAGAACGTAGCAAATGCTGTCATCTAATACCTATCACACTTAATGTAATGGAAAAACAGGTGATGCTTGCCTGCAAATTAGAGAAAACCTGCTCTGTTCTGCTGAATTAAACAACTGAAACACTGAATTAGTGGATTGATCTTGTGATTCTTGTTTAGACACTTCACTTACAGGAGTAGATTGCTTGTGGTAGTGAAGAGTGATGCACTGAGTATACAAACAGGATGCTTCCTGTCCCTCTGCATCTACCCGAAATAAGGGTTGAGGGACTACCCGAAAGGTTGTGAAGAGCTTCGTGTACACCTCATCTAGTGACTAACTTCAAGGTAAAACTTTTGTAGCGGTTACTGTCTATGAATTCTCAGTTTCTACTTCAGCTCTTGTGAGGTTCTTAACGTATTTTGTGGCCTTTCTGAACTAGTTTTTTAATTTGAAGAATACTCTACATCTTGATGGCAGGGTGATGCTGAAGGTCTCCCTGGCAGCAGACACTGACTTTTTTTTCTTCTTTAATTTTAAGAGGACTCACCAAGCCATTTTCCTCCCCTTTCCTCCATGCCACTGAGGTGCTTCTTGGACCTCTCCTTTGTGAACATTAGTTGGTGTTTTCAAGGGGCAAGGAAAAGCTCAGCCAGCACAAAGAACTGTGGGTACTACGGGTTTTTTGTTAAGATGTTGATTCTGGGCTCATCACCAGGTGACAACTGAAGTCAGAAGACCTTTATCTGTTTGTTTCCTCACTTCCTATTTCCGTATTTCAGCAAGTTGCATAAGGAAACAGGAAGCTGTTTGTTTTCCAGTGTAATTGGCAGATCACACATAATCTGTCCCCTTTCCTCATTCTACCTTGCTGTAGGTTGTTCTGCAGGGACCACAATGACTTGATCAAAACAGGATCAACCGTTTGGCTTTGCCAGGGAACAAATGTTGTGTTTTTAATATTTGACTTTGTTTTTAATGGGTAATGACTGAGACAAAGTTCAGATATTCTAAATTCCTTCAAATATTAAAGCTAAAGAGCTAAACCGTGCAGTTACAGCAATTATGTTCTTCTAATTTTCTCTGTTTTCTGCCAAGACACAGAATGCTGTTTGTGTGATACTGATAATCATGGTTACTGATGTGCTTAAAAATGTTAAGTCTATAACCGACCTTCTGGTCTGTCCTGGTCTGATTTTTCAGTGTCTCCAGTTTAGTCATACTGCTTTATGTTGCTGTGAAAGTATCAGAAAGGCGTTTCTTGTTCACATTTGGTAGCTTTCAGTCACAAATGGTTTCTAACTCTGAAACTGAAGCTTTCAGATTGTTGTGCTCTGGTGTTATAAGAAGGTTCAAAGCAGCTTTGGGACAAACCCGAATGTTCAGTATGTTGACATGAAGTAGTTAAGCAAAAACTTAGTAAGATTATTGGCGGACTTGCAAAATTTTCAGTTGTCAGAAGCAGCCAAGAAAAGGTAATGAGAACAATTTGGTAGGAAATGGGGGAATTGGACTACGAGGTTGTACTGAAAAAAATCAGAAGTATGTGCTCAAGTGGCAATACTGACTGTGGCTTTATTTGGTTGCAGCCTTTCTGTGCTCCTGATCTTTCAGTGAATCTGGAGAGAAAAATAATAAACATAGTTATTTCAGATGAGAAAATAACTCAGCATTTCCCACTCAATAAATACTGAGTCTCTGTAATACCAACACAAGAGTATCCTGCAGGGTTTCCAGCTGCAGCGAAGGCTTTTAAAGCTCTTGAGGTGACTTCAGAGGTCAAAGGATATAGGGGCGATTGCTTTCCTGCCGACATACATAAACATGAAGACACTAGGTGGGAAAAGACCTCCAAAAATAGCTGTTTCTACCTCTTTGCAAAGAGAAAGATAAGTACTGGTGATAACTAGTCACAGTCTTCTAAACTATGGGTCAGGAGACTGAATGGTTGAATAGATCTTCCCAGGAGGTTGGTGCAGGTTGTGGTTGCGTCAAAACACAACGACAGCCAAGCAGATGCTGGGGAAATAAAGAGGTGTTTGAAAGCAGCAGCTTGTAGCAGGTTTTTGGCAACACTTAGGCTTTGCAAATTGGACTAAGCGGAGAAATTGTATCATTCATTTGTACCACAGAGGTCAGGTGCTCAGTCAAGGGAGGAAAGCCCCAACATTTACTCTCAGAAGTGACTGTCAAGCAAGATAGTAGCATATAATGATTTTGGTTGGAAAAGACACTTTAAGATCACAGAGTTCAACCACTGAACCAGCCCTGAGTCCACTGCTAGAGCAAGTCCCTAAGCACCACATCTCCTTGAAGATGAAGTCAAAGATCTTGCAGCTCTTGCTCTTCTGCTTCACGAATACTTCTGGATATCTCCTGCTGGTGTAGGCTCCTTTAGCATCTCGGCTGAGATGCAGTGCTAAGAGTAAGAGAGCTGCTGGCTTGGCAGCAGCATGTTTTAAATTGCATTTCCTACAATATCAGCATAGAAAAATGTCTTGTTTCAGCCTTGTCTTTGCAGGAAGCTTGCTGAGCTTCTACTGTGAAATAAAAATGTGCCTCTCAAATCTGGAAACAAATTCATTTTGCAAGCGGCAGCATGCTTGCTTTGAATACAGAAATGGAGTGTTTCATACTAGGAAGTGAAAGCCAGTTCCTCAGAATGACAGACCTCTGGTTTCAAGCAGAATGAAGCGCAGGCTGTAGTGTTGTCTTCATCATTCTTGGTAGCTTTCCATCTCGGTGCATTCTATTTGTACTGTGTGCCCTTGCTCACATAACATTTCGGATAACATCCTGAATGCTGTAGCCTGAAATTTGTATGAAAATACTCAGTGTTGAACCGCTGCAGCTCCTGGCAGGGCTATGCTTATCTGAGTGTATGTGTATGTCTAATAATGTGGTTTTGGGAACATTTCCTACACCCAGTTAAGATGTGAGTGAAACATGGATAACAAGCAAGGCAATTTGTCAATTTTGCAGCATTAGTTTCATAGTGAAGATGTTTAAAATAAATGCTTACTTGCTTTGAAAAAGTATGTACTCATGGCCTTAGAAGCTTACAAACAAAGCTGGATTGATGTGGGCAGGATCTTCAAGGCCCAAGATGATGTATCGGGCAGTGGCGTGGTTTACAGGATATATCCCTCTCACTTTTTTCTCACTCTTTCCTCCCATAGCTGCTATGCAGCATTTTTTATTCTTTCTTAAATAAGCTATCACAGAGGTGCCACCAAAGCTGGTGGGCCCAATTTGAGCAGCAGTGGGTCCATTTTGGAGCTGCTGGAACTGGCTGTCTGCCACATAGAGCTACTCCCTGTTTCCCCCATGTACTCAGCGCTGGTGTGGCCGCACCTCAAATCCTGTGTTCAGTTTTGGGTCCCTCACTCCAAGAAGTTCATTGAGGGGCTGGAACGTGTCCAGAGAAGGACAACAGAGCTGGTGAAGGGTCTGGAGCACAAGAATGATGAGGAGTGGCTGAGGGAGCTGGGGTTGTTTAGTTTGGAGGAAAGGAGACTGAGGGGAAACCTTATTGCTCTCAACAACTGCCTGAAAGGAGGGGGTAGAGAGGTGGGGATTGGTCTCTTCTCTCAAGTAACAAGCAAGGACAAGAGGAAATGCCTTCAAATTGCACCAGAGGAGGTTTAGATTGGATATTTGGAGGAATTTCTTCACTGTCAAGCACTGGAAGGGGCTTCCCAGGGAGGTGTTGGAGTCCCCACCCCTGGAGGCGTTTAAAGACATGTAGATGTAGATGTGGCCTGGATTAGGTCATGGATTAGTGGTGGACTTGGCAGTGCTGGGTTAATGGTTGGACTCGATGATCTCAGTGGTCATTTCCAACCCAAGCAATTCTGTGATTCTACTCCTGGTCTCTTCTCACAAAGGCCACCCCTACAGCACCCTTTGCTGCCAAAACCTTGCTGCATAAAGCAGATACACTTGTCTAAGCGGGTTTTTTGGAAAGCAGTATTTGCTACCACCCTTCCCTTTTCTATTTTATCTCGGAGTATTTTGGTTTCTGAATTATATTTTAGAAACAGTGTAGTTATTGAATAGTTATTTTTATTGGTAACTCATATATGGAAGAATGTGCTTTAAAATAATGCATGTCTAAGGCTTTTCAGCTGTCTTATTCTCTCCTCTAAACATTCATTTTCAGGCTTATTTCTGTTTGCAGACTCCCGTTTCATCAGAGAAATATAATGTTGTGTTCAGGCCATATACTTCCAAATAGACATTTTTTTCTGGAGACACGATTGTATACATTGAAAATAATTTTTGTGTACAATTCATAAGCATTTATTCTACATTACTGAAAATAACCACATAACTCATGTCAGTTTAAATGTTCGTGTATTTTTAAGCAAAGAATAATTTTCTTGCCAGTTGTTATGATTTAGCAGTATGATATAGTACAATTATTTTAAGAATTAGGAATTTTAAACACAAGTTAACATCAAAAGTAATTTGTTTCTCTTCTTTGCCTTTGGTATTGTTTTCAGCTAATGTTTCAGAGCAGGGCTTGTTCACGTAACAGTGCTATTGTTAATAACCTTAACATGCTTGAGGCCAGTTGTGTTGGATATGTAGATGCACTAGATAAATTGTTGGAGTTTTTATCTTGACAGTAAAAAAATTAACATGAAGCAGGTGTAGACTGACACTTCAGAAACTCCATGAAGTCCAGAAAACTGTCTTGCTTAATTACATTTGATCCATCCATTAAGGCTCCTGAAGCATAAGTAAGCAGTTTATGCAAACATTTGTTGGCATTTCATTAGAGGTTTTTTGTAGAAATACAAAAAAAAGCCCAAGTAAAACTTCAGGTTACAACTTCATCTTAAACTTTTGTTACATTTAATTTTGAAATGTTTTTTAAAATTGATTTTAAACACATTTATTTTCTAGAAAAGAAAGATGTCACCCAGAGCTTGGAAAGCTACACAGCAAAATGCCCCGGTACGATGGAGTACATCACTCTTCCAGATGGTCTGAAGTTACCTCCTGTTCCCTTCACCAAATTGCCCATTGTGAGGTAAGACCCCAGAATACAATCTTTAACTTTTCCACAGTACCTGTCAAATTGTAAAGGACAGTGGAAGGATAAAGTCTTCTCAGTTGATATAAGTTGTTCACAGTAACATGGAAAAATGTCAAAGTGTCCAATTGTTTTGAGAAGCTCTTTGGCAAAAATAGAGCCTCTGAGCAGAAAATACTTTGTGGTCTTTAGTTTCTGGGTCTTTAGTTTCATCTCCAATGAATAACACCCTGTTTAGATTAAAGCCTAGCGTGAAGAGTTAGAGTCAGAGAGAGAGAGAAAACAGCCATTGGGCATCAATAATAAAAAGCAAGTCTAAAAGAAAATCTTTGTCAAGAAGTGGCTTTTTGAAGAGAAGATAATTGCTATTCATAAAGCATATGGAAGAAGTTCTTGAAAAGAGTTCTTGTAGACATTTGAGTCTCGGTGGGATGTCATCAAACATTTCATGAAGCAAGAACTCTCGTATCACAAAGAGACAATAAAGTGTATAACCAAAGAGTGAAAATGATCTTTGTTTTCAGATTACTTTTAGTCTCAAAAATGAAAATGAATGTGTTATTCTATGAGCTTTTTTTTCATGGTACAACTAGTTTTTCTATGTTCTCTCTAACTTCTTCAATCTGTTTTCACATTTACTGAAGAAAGAGACCTTGTCTAACTACTCCTAGTGCATTTAACATGATAGGTCTGTTCACACAAACAATTTGCTGTGTGGGAGGTGCTCACTTAAGGTGCAGGCTTGACTGGAGCACATGGTTGTGTGTGGTCAGATGGAGTTGTCTATGGAGTCAGAATGGTCACACCACTCTGCCACCAAAACATTTGGTGTTTTGTCTCCTGGTTGGACCAAGTACAAAGCTGTGCACTACCTCACCACTTTTAATATCTACTCATGAAGGAAAAAAAATGCATCTTCCCTGAGGTCTTCCAGCCTTGTCCCCTCAGGGGATTCTGTTAGCACTGAAAAAGCACATAGGATGAATTTGCAGATGCTTTGTGTTGCCTGTTCAGTGGTGCAGTATACTTTGGAATTGCAGCTGGTGTAGAGTCACAGAATGGTTTGGGTTGGAAGAGACCTTAAAGCTCATCCAGTCCAACCCCTCCCATGGGCAGGGACACCTCCACCAGCCCAGGCTGTTCAAAGCCCCGTCCAACCTGGCCTTGAAATTGTGGAGTATGTGGACTGTTGACTCATTTTCCATTGACCTTAACCATGTCCAGTGCTGAGTTCAGGTAACTTGGTCTGTGTGTCAGAGGGGTGCCCTGGGCAGTACATTCTGAAGCTAAATACATGAAGGAGGTCTGTATTTCTTCTCCTGAAAGCTTTTAGACAACCAACTTAGTGCAAATTTTAACCTAAATTTTTGTTTTTAGAAAGAAAAATTATTTTTTTTAAAAAAAAGGCAGTTAAGTGAACTTGTATAGCCCTTTCAAGTACTGGGGTTACATGATCATAGACAGAAGTTAGAGCAAAAGCTTCCATGAAAACATTAAGGCAAAATCCTTCCTTCAGAGAACAAGACTGCTGAGAGCCACTTGGTGCCACTTGCAGATCTCTGTTCTCGGAACATCTTAGTAGTACACAGCATAAACCCAAAACTGCCTTCCTTAATCTGACTGCGTATGGTGTCTGTCTTGGCTGTCAAACAGCTGCAGAAACTCTTTGAGCTAAATAATGTTAAATTTTGAGACATAATTTATAAATACATGGAAATGTGGTTTAGATCAGTGTTGAATAACTTCAGCTCATGATTCAATCCATGCTAGAGCCCCCTAGAAACACACATTTACAGATGACGATAACTTCTATTTACGGTTGGCATTTCATGGTCTGTTAGTTTTTAATCCTTTTAATGTGAGGTCCTTCTTTTGGATGCAGATTCCTTAATCAAAATACTGTCAAACATTGAAATGCCACAGTGAAATTGGAACACACTCGCGCTGTTACCTTTTCCTCCCCAATACCTAAAAAGCAATACAATAGATTTGGCGTGGCAAAATCTTTATATTCCATTACTCGTGATAAGCAGTATTTAAGGTCTAGCTGTCCTTTATTTAAGTGTGGTGTTCTTTATCGTCTTTCTTTTTTGGTGTGCATCATGTCTATTACTGATGTCCTTTACATACTATATTTTTATGTATTTTCTTTTAGCCTTTGGGGTTTTTTTAGACATTTTAAATACTGCAGTGCAATCTGGAAAGCTCCTTGGTGAATTTTTATTTCTTCTGATGAAGCTTCAGAAATTAAAAGCATGTTGGATTGGAAAGTACTCCACTATAGCATACTGTAAAATCATCACTTAGTATTTTCTGTGATACAAAATAGAAGAATTTATTGTCTTTCTGTTCTGATAGATGCACTATTTCTATTTTCATAATTTACCTGTGGTAAAACTAATTTTCATGGTAATATGCTTGACAGAAGAAAGAGTTTTCGTCCTTTTCACCACTGATGTCTTTGTTGTCCTTTTAGACTTTTCTTACTACTTTAAATTTACTTAGTGCCGTTTTTTCCCTTCCCTCGGTTTACTCAGTAGAGTGTTTGTTTGTTTTAAATGCTTTCCATTTCCCCTCCAAGCAAGGTGGTTTTTAATTAAGACAACTTTTTCCACATACAAGATTTTGATCTTCTGGGTAGCTAGTGAAATTATTTTGTAATTCCTACTTGTCACTCATTTGAATTCAGTCAGGCTGGGCCAGGGGCTTAAAAATGTACATTATTGGAGCTTTTTGCACAAAGGAATTAATGTTGTGTGTATCTCCTGTGAGGGTACAGCTGTCTAATACGTGGTTGGAGACCATTCCTCCCAGTATCATGCAGTAAGATAAAAAGGGTTATCCACCAGTATTTCTCTAATAATGATGGATAACCCAAAGCACTTCTTTCTATATATAAAATGAAACTCCTTTTTGTTAGCACTTTGTGGAATTTAATGTTTCCTCTACTAACTATCATTTACATTTTTTGCTTTAAGTTGCATTCTGATTTGTAACAAATTTCTATCAGAAGAGGTTTAAAATATGAAATATTCAGCAGTCTGGCACAATTTCTCTTTATTCCTCAGGCCTGTTGTCTGTCATTGTGCATTTCATTGTGATGCTGACACTAAATACATGGATGTGTGAGAGACCGCAAGAATTAATGCATGTCTCAAACTTTCATAGAACGTATTGGGTTGGCAGGGACCTTTAAAGCTGATCCAGTCCAACCCCCCTGCAGTGAGCAGGGACATTTTTACCACATCAGGTTGCTCAGAGCCTCAGGATGTGATTTATTTCTTGTTCCAAAATACCTTTAGTGTTACCTAGTAACTTCTTATCAGGTGTTTTATGTCAGAGAGATAACATGTCTGTGTAGTGTTACTCTTACAGCTTCATTGTTTTCAGCAGTAGCACGTTACCTTGAATGATTTGGGTAATTTTTTAAACAAATTGTTAAAAGTGGCTAAAACAAATGGCGCTATCAAAGAACTCCAGTGAGAGAAGTTTTACTGTGGGAGGTGGATGTAGGAAAGGGGGGAAGGAAGGGAGTTAATCTTTGAACTGCTTGGGTTTTCTGGCATGCTTGCACTTGGCTTTTTAATTGGCTTTAGAAATCTCCTCGAGTTTTAGATAGGCTGTGGTTGTTCACATCATGGTTCACGCCTCCTGTATCTTTAAGTATCCTTTCAAAGTTTATTGCTGGAAAACTTTATGAGCATTTTATTTCATTCTTGCTTGAATATCTCAGGAGGTGAGATGGCTTTAGCAACCAGTTTTATTCTATAGGAATTTTCTTATTTACTTGAAAAACAAATTTTAAGAGTTGGAGATTTAATCCATGAGTGTAAAGGGGAGATTCTTGTCTCTTGATGACATTCTTCATTAAAAGCACAAATATTTCAACCCGAATAGACTGCAGCAAAATAGCTTTGATACTGAATGATGTCTTTGTTCACCTTTTATTTTTCCTTTCCTCACTCCTTCCTGATTCTTAAGTACCCAGGAGTCTTACAGGCTTTTATTATACTGCTAATTTTACTGAACATGGACTAATCTATTGCTTGTCCTTATGCTTAATACTTAGTCTTTAATTTCCTATCAGCATCGGAAGCCCAGTGATTTCCTTGGTATTGGGAATATATATATATATATAAAAAAATAGCACTCTGCATGGTATTGTAGAGATTTGGGTCTAACAGGGATATAGTCTGATAAATAATTCATTTTGTCTATTTGTAATTGCCTTCTGGTCGTTCAACAAACCTACTCCCATTTCTGGAGTGTTTCCTTCCTTCCAGAAGCAAATTGTACATTTTAGCTGTCTTAAAATCTGGTTTATTCACCCTGGAGAAGTTCTTTATTTGTATTACAGTATCCAATTAAATTTTATCTGGCTTCTAGTTTGGGTTTAAGTTAAATATTTGGAGCCTTTCTGCACTGGATTTGTGATGTATTTGTTGTTCCTTCTGCACTTAACTTGGAAATTAATACCTGGATTTCAAATCTTTGATCTGGCTAGTTTTGCTTTTATTGGTTTCTACAGAAAATGTTTTTCCTTGGTTATTACTTTTCTGAAACTTTGTTTTTACTTTTCTGGGGTTGGTGTAACTTTAATTTGGACTGTAGGTGTTTGCTCCACGCTTTCAATTTCAGGTATTTTAATCAGTACCTATTCAGAGTGTAATTTAGTATTTATCAGCTAATTTTTAACACAACCATTTATTATAAAACAAAATAGAATAAATAAAATATTATAGAATTATTTTTACTCAACAGATCTGTGAAGCTCTTGAACCTCCCGACCAGTCTCCGACCTCACAAAATGAAAAGTCTTCTTGGTCAGAATGTGTCAACCAAGAGCCCCTTCATATATTCTCCAATTATTGCACACAGTCGTGGGGAAGAACGAAACAAGAAAATAGGTAAGAATATTTTGCCCTGTTTTCTGTTGTTTTGTTGAATTAGTTTGGGAAAGAAACCTGAACGTGACTTTCTGGGTTTTGAAATAATCAGCCTAACGTGAAGGAGCACAGTTTTGTTCTCTGTGGGACAGTTTCAAACTCAAAAGAGGAATGAAGTGTCATAGATAATAAAATGGATTTTTAGAGGACATAAACCTAGAAATACACAAACAAAAGAGAAATCAGGGAAAACTTCATTCTGACACATTCTGTTCAGCAGCAGCCGCCAGTGTAGCCAGTTATCGTGTGTCGTGCCCTGAGCTGGATGCACTGATTTCCCCTTTTCTGATAGGGGTTATCATCATGAACACCAAGAAATTAGGGTGAATTAGGATGAGCTGCAGTTCCTTGGACAAAAGATGCCAATCCATAGGAAACTGCACTGTGGTGGTTCATCACCCATAGGATCCCGATGTTAGCGCATTGGGATTTTAAAATTGGGTTTCAGTTTATCTCTTTCAGGAGGAAAAAAAAAATGCATCTTGTTGATATCCTATTATGATTTAATTAAAACTCAGAATAATTAACTTTCTGATTAGTCAGTTAAAAACAGTTCAGCAAAAATAAAAAAAGCCTTATAAACAACGTTGGGAATATGAATAATTTTCTCCTAGGGGTTTATTTATTTTCTTATAAAACTCTTTCGTGCCATTGGAAATGGATTACGAGGCTTGTTTAAAATCCTGGATTAAGTTACAAATATTGGTAGTCCTTTTTGTTGCTTTTGTGCATATCGCATGCATGATAATTTTTAACATACGTGTTAGTGTCAGCACAAAGAGGACTTGTGTGACTGTGGAACAGAACTGACTGTAAACGCTTGAACACAGAAATTTGCAGAACAGTGCTTATCTTAATTTGGCTCCTTATGCCACTGTTTCTAGTATTGTGAAATCACCAAAAAAAAAGTCATTGAGGTTTGCTAGATTTTCTATATCGTGCTTTCAATTGTAAAATGCTAAACATTTAGCAGGTCGTCACCAGTAGTGGCTCCAAGTAATTCTTCAAGTAGGTAATTCAGGAACAAGTTAGTGATAGGACAAGAGGAAATGGGCTCAAGTTGCACCAGGGAAGGGTTAGGCTGGATATTAGGAAAAATTTCATCACTGAAAGCGTTATCAGGCATTGGAACAGGCTGCCTGGAGAAGAGGTGGAGTCATCATCCCTGGAGGGATTTAAAAGACGGGTAGATGTGGTGCTTAGGGACAGGGTTTAGTGATCAACTTGGCAGTGGTGGACTTTGCAGGGCTACGTTAATGGTTGGACTCGATGATCTTAGAGGCCCTTTCCAACCTAAATTACTCTATGATTCTCCCTTCTGAAAGTCCTCTTTCATCTACTTTTAGAATTAATTTCCTCCAGCAGTGTAGCAACCCCTTGGCTTGGTCATCTGGATTGTGCCTCGCCTGCAGAGCCGGTACTTGGAGAATCTCTCCACAGGCTTTTTCCGCACAATCTTCTAGGTTAGGTGTTGGACTCAATCTGCCGTGGACCCCTGATCATAATAAAGATGATATCCCTCACCTTGAGTACATACGCAATTTCCAATTTGTTTTATGATGATGTGTATTTCCAGTACATAGTTGAACCATGAGGAATTAGGAAATGTGCAGAGGTATGGATTTTTATCTGGCAGGTTGGATGGACATGGCTTAGTGCTACTTTGACTTCAAAAGATAAAGGATAAGAAATTAAAAAGATAAGAAATAATAATTAAGTGAAGGATAAGAAATTAAAAAAATGTAGATCTGTGGAAACATCTTTAAGTACTTTCTCTTTAAAGAAGTATTTCTTTGGACAATGGCTTGTCTTAATTTGTTTAAAAATCGATCACAAGTTTTCAACGTTTAATCTCGTAGATATGCCATGTCATATTTTTTCATTACAATAAACCCTTATTGCTAATCTTGTCAAACGGTCATATTATACAATATTCTCGTTCCTCGATGGATCTAAAAGGAACCCGCATTTTTTAAAGCTGTTCAATTTAGGATTTAGGAGTTTTATATTGTACAGAGAAGTTTCTCTTTTTAGGTTTTTATTCAGCCAGAGGCGATGTCTGAACTGCTCGTGATGCTGTGAAGCGTTTTGTTTTTTGAAGCAGATACACAGTGCATTCACTTTTTAAAGCCTCTAATGTTTAATTCAAAGTTTTGCAAACAAAAGAATGTACAAAACAGAACCAGATAACTTCCTTTGCAAGAAGCTGAGGAATTTAATAAACTTTGAAACTAATGAGAATATTTTAATGACATGCATTCAATTAATAACAACGACAATAACAAATTAACTGTGTTTTTTCTTACATGGAATTATGCAAGCCTTATTTTTGGTTAAATTATTGCTACATCAAAGGAAATCAAGTACTGCTGACAAACTAAAGGGAAACAAAACCCTTTAGAAAGCTGTGAGGAAATGTTTTCAGCTTTCAGCTTGGTAAGCTTTTCTGATTGGAAACAATAACTGGGATAATTATATTCTGGTTAAATTGCTTTAATAGAATGCTAGTCATAAGAGGTAAACCTACTGATTTTTTACATAAAGGGGTTTTTTGTTTTGTTTTAAAGTGCTGATAGTCTAAAGCAGCAATAATATATAATATAGTAAATCTAGCAACTTACTGTCATTTCTATATTAAATGATTAAATGATATAACTATTAACTCTTTACTTAGGGCAATATGACCTGATATACCTTTCCTTTCAAAAGCTTTTCCCTCGAGGAAGCAATTTTGTAGCATTGCCCTGGTGTCTTTTTCATGGGATAGCTAGACCTTCTGAAAAGGAAACCAGAGACAGCTCATGACAGCTCTAGATGTGGGAGTGGTTTTTTGGTGGTGGTAGGGACTAGTCATGTTTTCCTGAGGGAATGAGAAGATGAGACATGGATGTGGACATAGACATTTATTTAGTGTGAGGGTGGTGAGGCACTGGCACAGGTTGCCCAGGGAAGCTGTGGATGCCCCCTTCCTGGCAGTGTTCAAGGCCAGGTTGGACGGGGCTTTGAGCATCCTGGGCTGGTGGAGGTGTCCCTGCCCATGGCAGGGGTTGGACTGGGGGAGCTTTAAGGTCCCTTCCAACCCAAACCAATCTATGATTCTATAGACATAGACACACACATAGAGAGATACATGTCAACCTGGGAGGATATCTGTAACTCCTTCAGTCTTTCCTCATCAGGCAGGTTCTCCAGCTCCTTGATCATCTTGAGGCGTACTGGGCTCTTTGGTTATGTCTAAGGTGCAGGACCTTGCTCTTGTCACAGCTTTGAACACTGCCCCCCTAGTTGGTTAGTTTAGAGCAAGACTGGCAAGTTGGCCAATCTGCAATCAAAGATTCTCCTGCCTCTTCTAGGTAGGTAGGGCCTATCTGTCCCCCAGTAGGCTGTATTCATTGAAGGACTTCCCATGATCATAGAAACCAAAGCCATAGTAACACCAGCCATGTATTGATCCATACGATGGGTTGACTTCTGCCTGCAGTAATAGCTCTGAGGGCAACACAGAGGAGAAAATCACTTGGGCACCTGTACCCTTTACTGCGCCTGCAAGGCTCTGAAGTCCTGTTTGGTCTTGCCCAGGTTTTGCTTTACTGTGTCATTGGTGCCCACATAAGTAGGGGACAGCAGTCTGGGCTTTTAACCAGCTGTGGCAGTCATCTCTCTGTGACATCCCAGGTCTTAGCTGCTGGCAAGCAGCAAACTTCCCTTGGCTGTATACCAGCCCAGCAGATGGGTGTCTCGGTGTCCTTCAGCAGTCACCCACTGGTAGCACTCGCCGTGTGCTTTTGCGGCTTTTACCGTGTGCTGCTGCTGTGGCTTCTCCCTGTGAATCTTGCACATGGTTGTTGAAGCTCAAGGCTTCATATCTGTTGCTGGTTGGTACATGTACAGAAGGGGAATGAATATTCCTATGGGTCACCAGAGACCACAGCACTTCCTCCTCCAAGGCTCTGTCTGTGCTGTTGAAGCTCTTTGGCAGTCCTTGGAGGTCAGTGCCTCAGAGCCCTCAGATTTCTTGCAAAGTCTCAAATAATCCTGTTTCTAGTTCCCCCTCCCTAGCACACAGCACAGCGCAGCCTGCTCGTTGCCTCCCTGCGCCCCCTCAGTTGCCGGCGCTGCTCCCCTCAGGGCCAGTCCCCTGCCTCTGGCTGCGCTCCCCAGGGCCGGTTGCAGGCGGCTTCCCGCGCCTTCCCCTGGCCGCGGGGCAGGCGGCACCGCCGAGCCCTGTCCTGCCCCTCTCCTCTGGCGAGCCCTGCGGCCCGGTCCCTCCCCACACATCAGCCCAAGGGGATCGGGGACCCAGAACCCTGCTCAGACACCAGGGGAGGGCCTTGCAAGCCTCGCACTGCTCTCAGCTCGCAGTGCAGCATTGGCTTCCCATGGTTTCAGTGCTAGAGTAAGGAGGTAGAGTATCCTACACCGGAGGAGGGATCAAACCCATAAAAATTAAGAAATTATCCTAGACACTCTTGTTTTTGTAAGACAGATTAAAGCAGACAAATTAATGGTTTGCATTTGTGATAGATGAAATTAAGATTTTCCAACATTTTTCTGGTAACTGACTTTTTCAGAATCACTTTTTTACATGGCTGCATTGAAAACATTTTTCAGAAAAGATGTTCCAGTCTTGTAGTTCTTATAATGTGGAAATTACGACAATTTACAAGGACTGCAGTGCCTAGTTTGTCTACTACAGGTGCCTCTGTTTATACAGTCAACCGTAACGGGGCTTAAATAGTGCTTAAATAGCTTTGAAGCTCTGTACAAAGTCCAACAGGAACTGGTTCTTTTGAGGACCACAGAATGCATTGTGGACAATAATAAGCAATTAAATAAAAAGAAGTTTACAGAACACCTCATACAATTGGGATTTTGAACATTTTGGTTTAATCAACAGTTTTGCTTTTCAGGTTTCATAGTAATATAACCCGTTAATATTGCTGAATGTATGTTTTTAATTTCCACTAGCATTAATTGCAATTAAACATTTGCATTAAGTAATCTCCCCTGAGAATGGTAGATGATTGTGAATGTATAATTAGAGTACAGATGTTTTCAACTGTGAATTACAGTCTTAATATTAATAATCCCGTTTATTTACCAGAAATGTTTTTCTAATGTACTAGTAAAAAGTCTTAGCAATGTGTGTTAAAATTATTGAGTAAACTAGTGAAAATTAATCCACATGTTAAAGATTATCTTCTGGTCATGGTTTATTTAACAAATACCATTAAACCACCTTTTATTTGTTTGGACTGCAGGTCCTCAGCTTGTGTGGAGAATCTTGTTACATTCAGGTTTAAGTCTGCTCCTGAGGTGCATGTGGTTAACTGAGAAATTTGGAAGGCAGACAAGGTCTTGTGGGCTGAAAGGATTATGAAGTGCTGATGTAAAATAGTCCTTCTGCTTTAAACAGTTCCTCAGAACTCACATCTCTGATGGTGACCTCACTTCTGTAATCTTTTTGCCACCTTAAATTAAAAAAACAAAAAAAACCCCAACCAACCAACCAAACAAAAACAACCCAAAAAACCCAAAACCAAACAAACCTCCCCCAAAATTTTAGTTTTGGCAGAATGAAGTGAACCTTTGTCACTTATCATGAATTATAAACTGAAATTACAGGTTATTACCTAACCTATTTTTGTTCATTGCCTTTCCAAAGTATTTTCACAAGTTCCTAAATAATTTTGTGAACCTCAGAAAACTCTGTATCTGTACATCCTAGTCCCTTCTTCCCCTCCCACAGCATCTCCCAAACTACTTACTGTTTTCCAAAGAAAATGAGTGGGAGGAAACTAAGGTGGTGAGCAGTTGCTTCCTTCTTAATTTAGAATGATCCTTTATTTACTCCCCATCATCAGCTGTGTCTACATGAAGATTTCTTCCTTTTATTTTTAATTTCCTTCTCCCTGTTGTGTTTCTTCCTTATCTGGTTGCTTTTTATCTGAGTCTTGATTATCCAAGGTGATGTGTACTCTGCACCTAACTCTGAGTATGTAAGCCTTTAAGTGTTTAACATTAAGAATGTGTTTAAGCACTGTTTTGAATGGATGCTTAAGTTACTTTTGCCAATGTAATGTTGAGACACTGGGGCTTTGGAGCACTATTACTCTATTAACAAATACTTCTGGACCTTGAACCCATTGCTTTGCCTCTGATTTATAGCTTGTGTCCCACAGGACTCTTGAATAGGACTTGAGCTGTGAAGATTATACAGAGATGTTAATTTAGAACATAAATATAGCAATCTGACAGCTCAGATGATGCTATTTTTTAATAACGTTATGATTAAGTAATTCTTGCATTAATTCTCTAACCATTTCACGTAGACTTCCAGTGGGTCCAGGGAGATGTGTGTGAAGTTCAGTTGATGGTGTACAACCCTATGCCTTTTGAGCTTCGAGTAGAAAACATGGTATGTATCTTTCTCAATCTCCCCTTTCTATTGTTTTTCTAAAAAAATTTCTCATGTGAACTTTCAAATGTGGTTTTCTGGAAATCAAAGAGTTTGAAGAAGCGTTGAAGCCAGTATTAACTCAGTTTAATAGTGCAGTACAGTCAATTTTCTCCTCTTTGCTGGCCATGAGGTATTGAAATGACAGTCTTTGCCACACAGAGTGTTTAAACGCTTTACTGACCCATAAATCAATTCCGTACCTTTTTGCATTGACTAGAACTCATACTGCATAATTTACATATACAGGTTTTCAAGTAATAATTATATCCCAAAACATCATAATTAGTGTATACTTACTACTGTAATTTGAAAACATGCGTTCATCCTGGCTTTTCAAATTCCTGTTTTGACCACATTTTTAAAAATCTGAGGAATTAAAGGAGTTTTGAGAAGCTTTGTTTTTGTAATAGAAGATTCAGCTCATGGGTCTGCTGTTCCCAAGGATACGTGTTTGAAAACACCGTAAGCTAAAATGTTTAGGAGGGAGGAAGAAAAGATAGAAATACCAGAGAAGCGTGTAAGGTTAGGAGGATCAAGCCCAAGCTGTGATATTAGTTCTGTGAACTGCTTGCAGTGTATCCTGAAACAATGTAAATTGGGGTTTTTTTTCCACTCTTTATGGCGACTAGCAGGATTTTTTTTTTTTAAATTGTTATCTACTTAAAGTTTAAAACTCTTCTAGCTACCAAACCAACTTCTTCTCAGTCCTAATCTGGTGGTGTCCTTTAAGTTAGCTATTTTTGCCTTTAATATTGCTTAAAAAATAGATCCAGTCTCTTAGAGCCCATTCTCCTGTTAGCCTAAGTGAATCACTTGCTCAGGTTTTATTTTTTAAATTTTATTTTATTGATAGGTCTACTGCAGTGGCTAGTCAAACCATTTGACCGAAATTACTGACAATGTGCTACATATAAGAAAGTGGTTTTCTATGGGAAATGAACATGCCCAAAGATTGTGCTTATGGTGTAATAAAATTCATTCTTGGAAGCTAGCACGCTGGTTTCTTCAGCAGCCTTTTATCTGACCCTTACAGAAGTATTACACATTGTCAGGAATGAATAGGAAAAGTAATTGTAAAGCTGCACATCAGAAAGGACTCTATTAATTTAAGAACATTTTGATTTATAGTCTAATTTGTATTGTGTAAGTAATGATGTAATTATATATTCAAAAGAGTGAGTTAGGATAAATTCTTAATTTCTTAATGAGGAGATTTCTTATGGGCGCTTATGTACACTTAAGAACTCAAAATACAGTTATTTCCATCCGTTCCCTGAGCAAATTAATTTTAGTAGCACGAGTACTTCTGTTGGTGTGACAAAGTTCAATCTTTAAATTAATACTGAATTTCAGTTTCATTGGAAGCAAGCGTGATACAAATAACTGAAGTGATTGACGCAATTCTTTAGTCACTGCTCCATAAATAGCTTTGAGAAATTCTGCTGTGTGCTAGTGTCATCTCATTGGTAGAAATGAGTTGATTTGTCTGTGGTATCAAGGCTGTAGCCAGCAAGTTGAGGAAATTAATTATTCCCCTCAATTTGGCATTTGAGAGATGTCGTCTTTAGAACCAAGGCCGGTTTTAAGCTCCCTGTACAGTAAAAACATTGACGTACTGGTATCAGTCCAGCTGTATTACTGAGATAACTGGAACTTATGACAGATAAGGACAGACTCAAAGAGCTGCATCTGTTTGGCTTGGAGAAGAGCAGAATTTTGGGGTAATTCCTATTGCTTTCCTCCATTCCAAAATGGGAAAGTGCAATGAAAACGGAGCCAGACCCATCCCAGCAGTGCCCAGCAAAAGGGTGAGAGTCAGTGAACACATTGCAGCAATGGAAAGCTTTCCTAATGAATAATTCCCTTTTTCCAATCATGAGGTTGGCCTTAGACTGGAACCAGTTGCCTAGAAAGAACACAGAGTCTCCATCTTTAGAAATCTTTGAAATTAGACAGTGAAAAACCTTAACTCCCATCAAAGTTGGCCCTGTTTTGAGCAGTGGGCTGGGCATTTCCTTCCAGCCTAAATTATTCTGATTTTCCAGCCTCATCTGAGAGCTTTCTAGAATGTGAGAATAGTTACGACTTTATCGCAAGAATAAACTCTTGTTTTTATTTTAATAATTCAAAGCATTGTTTAATATTTTAAAATGTGTTGGTTTATTGTTAACATTACGTGTGCCTGCAGTCAGTCCCCATGCCTCCTTGTGGTCTTGTATCGCACTCTTTCATGTTATTTAATCTCACAGAATGACTTTCATAGCAAACACATCCTTTTCTGTAATATTTTGTGATTTCAGCTTGTCAGTCCCACATTTTTCACAGAATCACAGAATATCAGGAGTT